TCACCCCCCCCCCCCCACCCACAACAACAGAACAGAAAAATACCCCCCCCCCCCATTCCACCCCCCATCCCACCATTGTGGAACTAACTCAAGTTACGCAGAGCGTAAGACCCACCGGCATCGGTCTGTTGACATAATTTTAACAGTAACCTTTACCTTTTGTGGCGTCGGTGGCCTTGTTGTTAGGCTACCGGACTCGTGATCGTGAGGTTGCGGGTTCGGGGGTTCGAGCCGCGGGCCCGGCGTTGTGTCCTTGGGAAAGGCACTTTACACGAATTTTCCCCACTTCACCCAGGTGAAAATGGGTACCCAGCAAATAGACAGGGAAAGATCTTGTCAGTTTGTTAGTGTTTGAGCGCTTAACCAGCTACTTGCACTATATGCTTCCCGGGAAGCTGAAAATGTTTCTGAGTGTTCTATGGTCTGCTGGGGTAGTATATAGTGTAAAGTGCATAGAGCCTGCTTTCGAGTAGGGACACGCGCTATACAAATGCTATTTATTATTATTATTATTTTATCTTGTTTCTGAACCTTCCTTTGCAGATTGGCTCTAACTCTCTCGAGGTAGCCGTGAACTCTGGGTGTACCCCTCTGACTACCAGAATAACCGGACCTGTCGTATCTCAGCCCAGCACCAGCATCTTCATCAACGTCACAATCCCACTTTCTATCGACTACTCTGCCATCGACACCTCCTCTTGTGTCTAAAGTGCATTTCCCACTGTCATTTAATATTATTTATTGCCCAGAAGCGATTGACGGTTCACCTGATGTGATAAGCATTATTTAGATATTTCATCACTTTTGTTTTTTAGACACATAAAACATACATAAAACAAGTGCATGAATAAAATAGAAGCAGATCAATAAAAATATTTACAAACTTTTTTGTGTCCGATTTTTGGTTTGTTTGTTAGTTGATGATTCGGTTGCAAACTTCAGTTATACAAATAATGAATTGTTCAAATAATCGTCAATGGTTACGATGTTCTTGTGATCTCCATCAATACAGTTGGACCATTTTTGAAAGAGGCCTGTTAGGCTCTGCCTTCCACGGCAGAGTGGGATACAACGCACCCCATAAAAAAGACAGAGATATTTTTAAAAAAGGTTCCAGTACGGAATACAAAGACTTTTCATGAAGAGCACAACAAAACTGCTGAAATGCTTGGTTTTAGTTGGATTTTTTTAAAAAAGTGTTTGTAACACAATAAGACCCTCACTATAGAGCCCCCACCTCCAAGCCCCCACTTACAACCCCTCAACCCTTACCCCCATTCCAATCCTTAGTGAGTGAGTGAGTGAGTGAGTGAGTGAGTGAGTGAGTGAGTGAGTGAGTGAGTAAATGGATGAGTGATTGAGTGCGTGAGTAGAGAGCAAGCGACCGAGCGAGTGAATGCCCCCCAAATAAAAAACAAACCAAACCAAAACAACAGCAACAACAACAACAGCAACAACAACGATAGCAAAAATCAAGCCCACCTTAAAAAAAGCTGCATAAGTACACACCCAGCAACCCATCCCCACCGATTCCTCCCCCCTCCACGCCCCGTAAAAAAACACTCACACAAACAAAAAATAACCCAAAACGAGCAAAAACCAAACAGAAACAAAAACAAAATCGCCTTTAACAAATTTTACTAAGTTGCATTAATTCATACATTTCTTTTTCCGGTCGATAATATTATAAAAAGTCATCATTATACTCAATGATAGTAAATAATAAGATGGGCCACTTCTCTCTTTGAGCCAATTAAAAAAGTGTCCTCAAAATTTGGTGGCGCCCTCTTCACAAAAGCGCACTCTTTGCGAACAGAGTTACCCTACTTGAGTTTTAAAAAATCAAAGTGAAACTAGCAAGTTTTGGGATAAATTTCGGAAGAAGGCTTTTGTAAAATGGTTACGCTGACAAAAAAAACTCTTCTGGAGGAAAGGGTGATGGTTTTCTTTGTTTAATTTGACTTTACAATGAAAGGCGAGAGGTCAATAAAAAAAAAACACCTAAAACTCCGCACTGAACGTACTCGAACTGCTGATGAACAGCAGTCGATCTGCGCACGCAAGGAGGTGCTATTCCTATTCTTCTTCTTCTGGAAAAACGAAAGAGAGCTTCAAAACAGACTGCAGCGCCATCTGAAGCAAAGAGCATACTTCCTGCGGACACTTTTTAGGCTGAGTGGCCCATCTTGTCTTCTACTATCTTTGTTATACTCCAACATTTACAAATGTTTTCCAAGCCTACGTCACTTCCGAAGGCGCCAAAAACAAAGAAGTGTAAATACCTTGCAAGAAACTCTTACCACTGAAGAACCTCCTGACATACGTAAGTCAAAGAAATGAGCTTATGCCACGGCAGTGCGTTATTAACACCGACTAAAATGTTTCAGACAAACATATTTGGAAAAGAACTAAATCATTGAAACAAAACCCTTGAGATCTCAGCATACAAAGAGGTCATGTCGTCTGAACAGTCAAACATGAAGCACCACCATCACCACCACCACCACCATCATCATCATCACAATAAAAATAGCGCAGACGAAACATGCAGTAGTAAGTTCACGGGGTCAAACGGTAACCAGAGTCCAATAAAGCAGCTCCCGAAGGGTCGAGGAAAGGAAAGCCGGACACAGGGCAGTCCAAGGACAGCAGTTGCGTCATCGACTCCTACCAAGAAGAGAGGCAGCAGCTCCCGTGCCAAACGCAGTGTAGGCCCGCCGAGATGCGCCGTGAATGGTCCCTTGTACTCATGCCTCAACAGCCCCGCAGTGGCCTGCAAAAACTACGGTCTGATATAATTATGTATCTCTCTTTTTTTAAAAAAGTTTTATTTTAAAATGTAGCTATTTTACGCATTCATCGGAACAGTCTTCATTATTTAAAAGGCAGGTTACTTTTGATTTTGCCTATGTCTTCAAGCTAACAGGGAGACTCAGCAAGGAAAAGCTCTACTTTCGGTTCTAATTTGATATTTTCCTCATGCAATGGCGCAGATCTTAGAGAGAGAGAGAGAGAGAGAGAGAGAGAGAGAGAGAGAGAGAGAGAGAGAGAGAGAGAGAGAGAGAGGGAGAGAGAGAGAACGGGAGAGAGAGAGAGAGAGAGAGAGAGAGAGAGAGAGAGAGAGAGGGGGAGAGAGAAAAGGCGGGTTGGGGGAGGGGGAGGGGATGCAAGGGATAATTTTTTTTTTTTGGGGGGGGGGGTGCAGGAATCAAGACTTTCCTTCCTGAAAATAAGTGACGAAAGACTCCCTCTTACTAACTCTGATGCATAGGTTCCAGCACGGACGATACCCTGAAGACAGTGCGGCCCCCTAATCCTTACACTGAACTGTTGAAGAACTTGGGTGCTGAGGATATCACTAAAATGCCTGGTGAGTGAGTGAGTGAGTGAGTGAGTGAGTGAGTGAGTGAGTGAGTGAGTGAGTGAGTTAAAGGATGAGCGAGTGAGTGAGTTCCACAAAAAATGAGAAAAGGTATCGGTTTAGTGCCCCTATCAACACTAGGCCACCGACAACACAGATGATAAAATTAACTGGTTACGTGTAACCTTCGCGGATATGTATGGCCTGGCTAGGTCCCTGAGTGGATGCAAACCCACGACCTCAAGTTTGCGAGTCCGAGATCTTAATAACCACAAGACCACCGACGCCACAAAAGATAACGTCGCTTTTAAGCATAAAGGGGCTATCCCGAAAAATGTTGTTTTGAGAAAATCGAAGGTAAAATTCTGGACCCTTGTTCAATTTCCTTAAAAGACAAGGAGAATTTTCCTTATTACCAAACAAATATACACACTGATGAAACCAAACTTCTCCTATAGGTTGGGCAATGTCCACTTTTGGTGTAGGTCAAGATTTCTGGAAATCCCCGAAATCTTGGTTAGCCCTCTTGTCCTTATGAGCGACCATAGGATTAACTGGTTACGTGTAACCTCCACAGATATGTATGGCCTGGCTAGTCCGGCAAAGGAGGTGAGTCCTCCACCAAGCCTGGGCCAAGACGGCGCGAAGACCACGACCACCTCGATCACCGTCTCGACCACCACCTCGATCACCACCACCACCTCGCCCATCACTAGCGCCAGAGACGACCGGGGTAGCGGTGAGCCCAGGAGCGAAGCGGGAGGCGATGGCGAAGACGAGGAGGATGAGGAGGACGAGAAGGGCATGCCTAATGGTACACTCCTAGACCTAGCTAGAAGTTGGCTTATCATCATCATCATCATCATCAGCTTTTATCAGTTTGTGTCGGAATATTTTTTTCCTTTCTTTCTTCCTTTTTTCTTTCTTCCTTTCTTTCTTCCTTCCTTTGTTTGTTTGTTTCTATTTCTCTAAGCATTGCCCGTCCACTGCAGAATGTAGCCTTCCAGCAAAGACCTCCAGTCTGTTTTATCAGCTATTTTCCGTGTTCAGGTTGTCTACTCTCTTCTTATGCTATCTTGCCACATTCTTTATGGTCTTAATGAATTTTGATTTTCTCCAATACAAAATTGCCCCGATTGTGTTGATGTGAAGACAAGAAATGGAGACCTTGTAGTAGTCTGCTCCTGTCCTCTTTTTCATTGTTATTATTGTTTAAATCTTATTTGGATGAAATAATGTGTAATTATAATTTTGTGGACTCGCCAAAAACTACAATTCAACAATTACACAATATTCGTGAGTGCCTTATTCCCTCTGATGTTGCCCCTCCCTTCCATCCACCCCTCTCCCCAACCCCCTCTATCCACCCCTCTCCTCCCATCCCCACCATCCACCACTCTCCCCTCAATCCCTCCATTCACCACCCCCCCTTCCTCCACGCAAAGCCGTCCGTATGCCCGAACCCTCAAAGATTTGCAGAACATCCATCCAGGAACAAGTTAAAGAGCGCCACACTCGGGCAATGGAGGACATAGCTCGCAGCCAGGAGCCCGGGGAGATTTTGGCCCACTTGCTGACCAGCGGCTACTTCAACGTGTGCTACTGGGACCACGCCCGGACCACCGTGGACAATCTGAATATGAAGAACGGTAGGAAGAAAGGAGTGGAGAGACTCTATTCACTACTGTGCAAGCGTATCCCCAACATGATTGAACTACCGTAACTACAGCACAGTGTACCGCCTTTTGCATAGGAAGAAATAAACCATAGAACTTTGAACCCTACAATTGTATAGTGTCTGCTTTGGACCATATTTATTATCGAACATTAAATCCCAAAATTATGGGAGTCTGAGTTTCCTAACGTGCGTCTTTTAGAGAATATATAATCTGCAGAGCCATGAGCCCTTTGAAATTAGCCTATTTAGGAGTACATTCAAAAGGGCTTTGAACCCCCCCCCCTCCTACCAGAGCAAAAAAACCACACCAAACAAACAAAACAGTTTCTGCTTCCAAATTAATCACCTGAATTTTGAACCATGCCCAGTATCTTACGGTACACCAACAGAACTTATATGAGCTGGTTATGCCAGGAGATCGAGCCCCATCCAGCTTGTCAGAATAAATCTACTGAACGCTGAGTCGTCTCCATTAAAAAAAGTATATCCACAGAAAACAAAGAATACCAGATTAATTCAATTATAATAATTATGTTATTCATATTAACTGCACGTACCCTTTGACCTAAAAGCCCCCTCAACAAACCATGGGCAGCTGTTGATATAAACGCTAAAAAACATGTTTTGTTTCGTTTCATGGTATTCGTTTTTTCTTCGCTAAACAGTACTCTCTTTGGCTTTTCGAAGACAAGCACTAATAATATTATGACTCCTAGAAAACGTTGGCGACGGCTCAGTTATACATATTATGTCGCCTTTGGTATTTTTGAGGACGTCTTTCACTATCATAAACTAACAATTGAATCCTCTTGTAATAATGTCAATCTTTGAAGTGGTAGATTACCACAGAAACACTAAGGACAACATCAATTAAATCTAATTAACAACAATTGGAATTGTTTTTGTGGCTGTCATCCGTACGTCGTGATTTACTATCGTATCCATGCGACGTGGGGAACTCTGTGACACCACTTTCCAAAGAGGAAATTTACTCGTTAATCTGATCCGTACGCTTTGTATAGCAGTCTGTCAAAATGTTGTGTGTGTGTGCGTGTGTGTGTGTGTGAGTGTGTGTGTGTGTGTGTGTGTGTGTGTGTGTGTGTGTGTGTGTGTGTGTG